GTCTGTCCTTCTCCTGTGAAGTGGGGTGGGCTGAGATAAGGCGCGTTATAAAAACACTCTCTGGTCAGAACGGCAGGTCAAATATCTCTGGTGTTTACAGGGGAAATCCATGATGTGAGCGGGTACAAGGAGAACAAGGCTGTGTGTGTGTGTGTGTGTGTGTGTGTGTGTGTGTGTGTGTGTGTGTGTGTGTGTGTGTGTGTGTGTGTGTGTGTTTGGAGTTTATTTACTGAACTCATTTGTATCTATGTTTGTTGAGGAAAGATTGTGTATCACTCAAGGCGACGGTACACTGTGAGTGCGAGGCCTTGCCAGGGAATGTGCATATCAATCAGGGAGGTCACAGAAGTGCATTAGGGGTAATATGGACGATGCCCCCTGGAGCACCAAGTCAGGAGCCTTGGTGCTACAAATGATTTCTTTGCTTGTTAATCTTATCTGTAGAGTTTTTAGCTTTTCAAAGAGATTGGCAGGCTGTGTGTGTGTGTGTGTGTGTGTGTCTCATTTCCTCCCTATCACAGAGCTTATCTGTGGACTGCTAGGAATTGGGGGAGAGGAGTGAGAGAATGGAAAGAGGAGACGGAGGAGTGTGTCGGAGAGAAACAGAGAGACGGAGAGATGGAAAGTCAAGCTGCGGAGTGAGAAGGGCAGGCAGTTGGTAACTTGTTTTTGTGAGGAAGTGTGTAGTGTCTGCAAAGGAGGCATAATGAAGGGGAAAGCACAAAGAAATGACTTTTTGAAAGTCCCCATTATGCTTTTCTCTTTGCATGGCATGACACGACTCTGCAAAGGCAGCTCTAAACTGTCTGGAAAAATGGCAAATCGTGTTTTCGCTCATCCACGGGAAACTCTTTCCTGCAATAAGAAGAGTCTTGCATCAAAATGAAAGACTTGTCCCTCTGTTTTGCTGCTTATTTCCCTCAGGCGGCAGCTCTGTAGTGAAAGCAATGAGCTGGAGGTGATGCCCAAACTGGTCACACACTTGTGGGGAGGAAGGTGATAAGAGGAGGAAGCAAGTTTGTCTTCACTGCAGCGAGCTTCTCAATTAGCCACTAATTGCCTCGCCTTAACGAGCAGGACATTTCTTAGCTCTAATGAAGCTAGTGGCAGGCGAGTGTGTGTGTGTCTGTGTGTGTGTGTGTGTTGCTCCCAGCTACGGTGCGAGGTGTGTGTGTTTTGAAAGATAGAAAGGCCAGAGACAGAGCGGAGATCTAATGGAGTCGGGTCCGCAGCTCATTTTCAGCGGGCTGCTTGGCATTCTGTGGAAGGAATGCGTGGATGGGTTACACTGCTGGCTGCGACAGAGACTTTCCAATGAGGCTCCACTTTGTCTTCACCCTTATCTAATCCACGTCGGAATGACCATCTCTGCAAAATGAAAACGAGGCCGGAAATCAAATGACCTGCCTGTTTGTTGCAGCTGCAAGGAAGCATGGATGTGATTTGAGAAATGAAACTCCACTTGGAACAAAAAATAGAGGCCAGTGCATGAAATTGGGATTTGCATTTGGTGGAGGAATGTTTCCGCTCAACATATGTTTTCCATAAAAAACATTGTGCAGCATTTATTGCAAAAATGATTGGTACTGTCTCTCTCTTATTATTCACTAAAGATGCTATCAAGTTACATTGTGGGATAATAATCGAGACTATAAATCTCTTGTTAATTTCAAACAGCCCCGACTTTCTAGAAGTTAAATCTATTCATAATAACACTGGAGTATCACATTTTGGGAGATATGCTTATTTGCTTCTTTGCAGAGAGGAGCTAGAGAAGGTTAGCCTAAAAACAAGATGATATAAGTTAATAAAAGAGCTTTACGGGTGCTTATAGACAGATATTGAACCCTTTAAACAGAGCCAGGCTAGCTGTTCCCTACTGATGCCAGTCTTTGTGCTAAGCTAAGCTTAACTGTCTAGTTTCAGTGCTTTCTTACAACTAAATAGTTTTAAGATGTTGAACTGGTCCTTTAAGGAACCAAACGTCACCTTGTTAACAACCTCGGCCCAAACAGTGTGAGGTCCAAAACTACAAAAAAAGGTTAACCTTTGACCCATCAGGACAAACGGAGACCCTACAGCACTGTCATAATGTTAAAGAGGATTCACTGTACTCCAGGTTGTTTGTGTTTTTTACAGAAGACAGTAGATCACTCGCTTTTTTAAGCTCATACGGAAACTAAGCAGTCGCTAACAGGGACACACGACATATTAGCCCAACTTTTCCCTACAGTTCACAGCAACCCAACACCCCTGACACAAGCTCACCCCCGCACCCCTGGCTGCCAAGCAAAACACCTGGCATCTGTAGGAGAAGGGCGCCAATTTCACAGTCACTGCCAGGCGGTCAGCTGAGCTTCTCACACACACACACACACACACACACACACACACACACACACACACACACACACACACACACACACACACACACAATATTTTTAACTACATATCACATGCTCAACCGCACTGTGTTAACTTGCATGCCGATTTGTGCTGTATGCATGCCAAGTGTTGGACAAAGTGCATACATATAATTTCATATGGTTCCAGTGTCTGCCTCGCAGTGATGCATTTCCCTGTAGCGTGCTTCCTTTGCTTGGCTGCAGTTTTGTGTGTGTCAGAGGCCAGGCCGGTGCTGAAAGCCTGATGGATGGGGTCCAGGGGTCACGGACTTCAGCTGTTGCCGGCCACAGCACAAACCCAGTGAACCGCACTGCTAGCACTGGGTTAGCATCACCGGCACGGCAGAACTTCTTGAGATGTTTGTCCCCGGGGAATGGGAAAGCTGAGAGGGTCCAGGGAGATATTTAAGGAGAATATTTGGAAAGTTTGGAATGCTGGCAAGAATGTGCAACCTGGTAAATGCAGGGTGATGGAGTGCAAGCATCGGACACATCATCATGTATTTTCAATTGAGTTATATATTGCAGCCCAATCCAATTGTTGTCTTTGCTTCATTATAAAAACAAGTTGTTTCAAAAGTCTTTCTCTTAAATTGGACAGGTGATTCCTCCACAGAACTCAGTTGCTGCACGTTTGGTCTATGGTTTATTTCAAGTAACATTTGTTGACTTCTTGCTTCTTTACAGAATATTTTCTTTGTATGCAACCTGGCATGGCGGAGAATTCTTTGATGATGAGAATAGGCACTTGTGTTCATGCTCGTAGCTTGTGAGTATAAATAAGACTTAAGAGGTTACAGATGCAGGAATATAAATGTTGGGTATGGCATACTGAAGGCAGGTTTTTATTTATGCTAGAGCTCACCACGTTCCACTATATGTGACGGGGTAGTAGCGTCTCTGCAGCGAACAAAGGGAGTTTTTATTTGATAAGGATTGTACAGGATGTGATGTTCCAGGGGCTCAGTGACCCTGCCCAAAAATCGAAAAAGAAATCCAGCTTTTTCCCCCAATAATGGGATACATGAACCTTTCATTGTTGCCACGACGATGTCATCAGCTCTGCAAAGGGCTGCTGTGCCAGGAGCGGCGACCACGGTTGCCATGGCGACAGTATGCTGTGGTGTGTGTGTGGGCAAAGAGAGAGGCAGCCGGGAAGCCATCGCTGCTTTTTAGGGTAAATATGTTGTAAATTAACATCGACTCAGCGAAAAGGAAGAAGACATTAAGTAAAAATGGATGTATTAAACACAGCACAAGGTGAAACCAAGCAAGAATATTGCACAGGATATGAAATTATTTTCAATATCAGCCCGAGTGTGGAAATTCAATTTCACAGCTCGTGAACAATATCAAACAAACATGCTGGCTGAAAGAGCACACTCCAACTTGAGTGATACTGTATCAAAAGGCTACACAGCAGACATAAAAGCCAATGAGGTGGGTGAAGGGCAGGCTAACGGCTAACGGTAATCCATAACTCCGCCCAATCTCCATATTCAGCCCGTTTAAACTGCACATTAGCCACCAGCTATTCCCATGGCCTGTCTCAGACCTGGGAGGGGAGGCGGGCCGCTTTCTAATGAACTGTATAATTAAATGAGGGGCTGCGCTCGGCCCGCTCCCACTGCTCTCCATTCCCAGACCATGATGCCTTTAACGAGCGCTGAATTGAAATGAATGGCGGCAGGTGAAGGACAGAAGGACAGCGGGCTAATGCAGTGGAATGTGCCTTTAATGAAGAGGACGAAAGAGGCAGAGGCAGGGGGGCGGCGGCAACGTGAGCCGAGGTCACTGAGAGCACTCACCCATACCTTCACTACTGTATCCCCCCCCCCTCCATCTCTCTCTGTCTCTCTTTTTGGGAGCTGTGTGGGAGAGATAAGCGATGCTGCGCTCCACTTTGCCCTCCCCAGAGCGCCCCTTTTGATTGACACATGCTAACAAGCTAAGGTGTTCGACAGGGGCGCCGGCAGAATAGGTAATGCTGCGAGAACATAACCGGGGAATTCTCCCACAACCCGCGGTTCATGACAATCGACTGGGGAAGAGCCTGTGCTTCTGCGATTTTGTTCTTCTTCTGCGACAAGAATCGGGGCTTATGAAGTGTCAAATTAATTCAAACTCATAACACAAGAAGGAAATAGGTGGGTCTTCAAAAAGAAGAATCGAGGAAGTTCGACTAAAGGCGGATGAATAGACAAAAAGATTCTAAGGAGGGGTGTTGATTTCATGCAAAGGGAGGACAAGTTGCTGATGCCAGGCATGAAAATATGTCTGTCAGCGAATCGAGGGCCGTGACCGCGTCCATCTGAGCGTGTGTGTCATGTGGTTGAACTTTAAAAGTCTCTTCTAAATGACTGTGAACAAAGTGCAGACACTCACAAGACACACACACACTGAGTACACAAGATGTGTGTTAGAGCCAAGCACGGCTGACAGTGATTTCTGTGCTTTTGTTTAATGGACGTTAAACGCAATTAATACTGCGATGTTCTGTCCGTGCTGTTGTTTATCGTCTCTGGCAGCAAACTGACCACAGGCACTCGGAGGAGGCTGTTTACTGCGTAGTTATTCTTTAAAGTACGGCGGACGGGCAGTGAAGGCAGCTTAAGTGCTGTGAGATGTGTTGCCCTCCTCAAGAGAGAACACATCGCTCATGTATATGAAACACTGCCATAGTTATAGATGTAAATAACAGGTGGGCTTTCCCTGTCCTGCAGTGTGTTCTTTAGGTTTGTGTCTGCAGCCTCAAATCCCTGTTCCCTCCAGAGGGAGTTTCTCTCCCCCACCAAACCCTAAGGAAAGCAAGTAAGTGGACCGTTGGTAAACATTTTTATTTTGGGATCGATTCCTTCTTCCTGTTAGTGTGTTCTCTTAGTTTAAATAGCGCATAAATGCAACGTTTTCATCAGCTGCCACTCAAACGTTGCATACTGGAATGTCTTTGGACAGCTTTTTATAGGCATTACCATAATGCCTTTGGTCATCATCAAGCTACGCTACATGTAACTGTTAATGAACTAAATACCCTCTTTTTGAAGTATGGAAATGTGCTTTGTGTCATCACAGGATGGTCAACAGACAGGGGCTGTGTGTTTTCCTTTTTATTGTTTATCCAGCTTGTTTGCATTGTAATGCTGTTTTTAATATGAACAGAAGTGGGTTATAATAAGCATTTGTTTATTTGTAACTCAGCTTGAAGGTTACTGTATGGGAAATAGTTCATTGTCCAAAAGCATCTTTATGTTTGAAGTCTATTTCAAATCAGACAGGGGTGGGGGGGGTCAGAGACGAGGTGGATCAGCAGCTCCTTGTTGGCATTGACGCTAATTAAACACTAACTGATAGTAGAAGCTTCTCCACACTCTAATTATTCCCCATTTCAAGTCTAATTTCACCAATCAGTGCCATCTTTATTTCTGAGAGCAAATTGGGCACTAATCATTTTCTAGTGGAGATTTCCTTGCCTCTAATTGTTGAATATGATTTAGTCATTATCAGAAGGCCGGCTACTCTTATCAGTCATCTCACAGGGCAAATGTATCTGCAGATTGTGCTCAGAGAAATTAAGCTGAATATTTTTAATGAATTTTTAAAGTGATGACTCACAGCCTTGCCGCAGTTTGACTTGGTATTTTAAATATTCATAATCTGGATAATTACTTAAATGAAACAGAAATAGGATGAAATGATTTAGTGCGGCTCAAAGACTGAATTTCAAAAGTATTTAATGCAAAATATTTGTATTTTAAAAAAGATCATGAATTTATTCAACATCATGTTTAAATCCAAACACCTTTGACACTTTTAATATGTTCTAGTAGTTAAAGATAACATGTTTCATTAGCTGCACCATATATTATCTGTAGCGTGTGTGGATCAAGATTTATACATTTCATTATAATAGAAACACCATAAAAATATCACAGACTCATATACAAAGCATTTAACAAATGTACAGAAAATGTATAAGCTACGTATATATCCGAATAATCAAAGGAAAAAAATCAAAGTGTGACGGCAGGATGTAAAGGAAGTCAAAGAGACCAACATGAAGGACAAGAGGACACTTTGAAGGGGAGTTACTTCCTGTTTCCTGTTTTGTCGACTTCCTGTGTCTCCTGGTGCGGCTGGTCAAGGTGATCCCTTCATTTCCTCTGCAGCTTGTGCAAAACGCTGGAAAAGAGTTGATTCTACACAACATACACTAACTCTATACATCTACGCTGTTAATTGAATTGCCCTTCATTTAATTTAATAATAAAATCTATCAAAATACACATTGGCACATTCACAAAGTGGTTGCCAACATGATTATATATATGTACACACTTGTTAAAGCTGGCCAGAGTTATGACCAGATGCTTCTGAAAGTAAGCCTGGTGTTAGCCTCAGAGCTTGTCTCTTCTTGTTCTTTTATCAGATAAACTAATGTTTCTCACGTATCTGCCCTGACAGAGACAGCTGATATCACAGATCTGGGAACAGGTGAATCTGTTATATCTATGTACCTTCTACACTGCACCTATCAGAGGGTTCTTCCGCTTCTGGTCGGGCTGCCTGTCGTCCCCGTAGCGCTCCCCGGTGTCGGGGTGCCTCTCTGGGCTGGAGTATCGTCCCGGGTTGGCCTGCCGGTAGCCGTCCACTCGCCCCCCCGCGGCCTCATAGTAGTGGTCCCCTCTCTGGCCCGCGGGGGGCGGCGGCAGGACGTCCTGCCTCACTGCGGCGCGGTGCTGCTGATCTGCTCGGGGGGACGAGGGGTAGTAGCGCTGGTTGTTGGGCGCCTGCACACGGCCCTGGTGGGGGACGGGGTCTCTGGGCACGGGTCTGGAGTGGGTGGGGTAGTCATATGGATCTCTCCTGGAAGAGAAATATGGAGAATTATCAAACTATAGGATTGCAGGACTTTCTGAAACACATATCTAGATCTATGCTTGAGTAAGGCAAGGCATGGCAGTTTATTTATATAGCACCTTTCAACACAAGGCAATTCAAAGTGCTTTACAAAAATCAAAGACATTAAGAGCATGAAGAAATAGTGCAGCAGAAACATTTAAAAACACTCATTTAAAAGCAAAGATAATACAACATGAATAACACAGGTACATGAATACAAGTTACAGTGCAGCGTGCAATATTAATATATCAATTAAAAGCAGCGGCAAAAAGAAAGTATAGAGTAAGACAATATTTAATACTGGTTTAAACTGGTGTGGAGGCCGTGCCACAGATCCCCCCCCCCCCTTGCGGTAAGCCTCCTTCTGTTATTCAGTTTACGGTGCGAGGCTGTGGCCTTGGCAGGATCAAGTTGTGGGGGGAACGTGGATGGAGAGATGCCAAGAGATAACAGCAAATGCCTTGGTAAGCATATATGAGGCTGTGTGTGTGTTTAGCTGGAGTGTGTAGGAATGTGTGTGTGAGTGTGTGTCCCAGGGGTCTGCAGTAACGAGGCAGCCAGCTGGAAGTCTCCGGTTCCCTCCCCGTAGCTCCGGGTGATTAGGGGCTAAACCCCGGGGTAAGGCGACACGCGGGACTTGGGGAGACGGTAGGAGGGAGAAAAGAGGGGAGAGTAAGAGAAAAGAAGAGAGGGAGGGCTGCTCACCCATTCAAATGTTTTCCATCTTATGTGCTGTTTCCAGCGCCGGGTGACACACATATCTATAAGCAAATCTAAAAGTGGAGGGGAAACTCTCCTATTTATAAAAGTGGTGATCTACAAGCAGCCCTGTCAACATCCTAAATTAAGTATCTTTGTAAACACTAACAAAGACGGCATCACAACCTCTTCTAGGCCATATATAGAAGTGGTTACAGTCACCTAATGCACACACCTAAAAAGTACTGGTGCAAAACAGGAAGCCTTGACAGACTCAACTAAGTTAGTCCCTAGAAAGTCAGCATAAATTCCATCATCTATTTCCTGTTTGTAAAGGTCGTTTGGCACAATGCTACACGACAGAAATCAAAGAACTACAAATAACAAACTGGTCATACAAGTGGCTGTAAACACATATTTTGATGCTATTGTTGGAGCAAATGCTTAAGCGTTCATTAATTGGCTACACTTCAAACTATTATGCCGCATCCCTCAGCGGCAGAGCGTGGTGGAACAGATTTAGACATTTACTTCCCGCCCCTCAACAATGGCTCCCACTGTAGTGATTACACAGAAGCCTTGAGCTTAGCCTTCTCCCTTGTTCTGCAATCATATCCCCTGCGTCTCCTCTGCCACCCTCCCACCCCCGAGTCCAGCCTGGCACCTGTTGACTGGCCAATTAGAATGACTCACTCACCGCAGATTAGCTAGTGTGTGTGTGTGTGTGTGCAAAAGAGGACTTCCCTTGAGGATATTCGTGGACGCTGGTGACGTGGAGTTCTATATGAGTGTGTGTCCCAGATATCAGTGTGGTTTTTTTTTCTGTGACCACCCAAACAGAGCGGTGGGACAGGATACACAGGTGGTCCCAGGAATGAACAGCGCTGCCTTGTCAGTCAGCAGAGCCACACACACACACACACACACACACACACA